TTGCATAGCAATGAGTCATAAGCCGCAGGAGGATAGTCAAATACCTCGCATTGTAGTTTGCTGCTAAAGCAGTGCACCACACCGTCAGTCCTCTTAAGGCGATTACGTCTGAGTAGCATCATGCTAGATAGGCGTAATTTTGATTCCGAAATGGTAGTTATCAGCGAGTTTTCAGTAACCGCAATCGATCAGTTTCGCACCTTAGTTCCATCTCTGAAAGTTTGTCAAAAAAACCTTGGGACTTAGCGTAAAGACAACGCAGTTGATTTCGGAGAAGAAACTCTTTTTGCTATCGTCTGTGATACTCTAGGTATGCGTTAAGAGCGAAGTATTCCAATTTGGTATGATCCTGTATTGATTTCCATTTTTTCAGTCTGTGCGAAAGTGATTGCTCTTTTGAGCTATTACTGTGGTAAATTTACTCGTTTGTGAACTGGCATTGAAGTTAATGAATTTATGAAGAATAATTTTATCAGCCTATTTTGCTTTTTGTTCTGAATTAAATGTTTGAAAATGCAGCAGGTGAATTCTCTCCAGGGTTGGTGTAATGAGTGAAGATCTGGTTCGTGTTTTTGATTTATTTGTGTGTCAAAATTCTTCATCCTCCGTCGACAAGGATGGGATGGCTGTCTGCGAGAAAATCCCTGAAAAGGTCTTGTAGCTTGTTGCTGATCTTTATCTTGAATGCCTACAAAATAATAGTTTTAGTCGTGGATTTCGTTGTATTTCATGGTAACCCATTTGCATTGCTTTCTCCTTTCGTTTTCAGCGACGTTCTCATTCCGAAATGCGAGGACACAGAAACAATTTGGTCGCGACTGTTTGGTAGGTTCCCTTATCCCATCTCTTCGCTGAAACCTACACGATAATCAATGTAGCTACGGAAGTGGAATTATCTGAGATTTCTCGTTTGACGAATCGCGAGAACACGGTAGTAACGGAATCTTTTTCTCTGCTTCCTTGATCAATCAACTACGGCCCATATTTTAGTTAGGATAAATGGGCTGATAGGAAGGACATACGTTTCGATCATTGCTGGCGTTGCATCATCAGAGTTAAGAGTTTGATGGCAATAGATGCCAATCTTGTGAAGCATTTTAGTGCCTGGGCATGAATCACGTCAATTTGTGTGCGTCCTTATCATCATGATGAAACAAAAGGAGTTCTAGGGTCTGTTATATCGGCGGCCCAGATCATTGCATTCAGGCACTGAAGCTGCTTTTTGCGGGATACAATTTTTGACGTCATCGAGATTGACCTTGAGTGCGTGGTCTAGTAGAGTAACCCCAATCTATCTGCCCTGAAGAGCTTTAAAAATTAATACCAATATTCCTTCCACCTTATTGTATCCTAGTTGTGAAATGTGGTTTACTGCGTCGATTACCAATGTTCCGGAAGATCAGTTTGCTTGCGATAGATCGGACATCTTGTAGTTAAAACACCAGGCCACTTGTACTTCTGTGCAGTCCCGATTTTCTTCAATGATAATAATAAATATGGTCTCTTTACTTTCATTTATTTGCTTTACATCATTTGTGCGGTTAATCTTCAGGAAGGGGCCTGCAGCCAGTTTCTAGATAACCACCCCGTAAATCGAATGATGCGATGATTGAACGTCCTGCCTGTTTCTCCTGAAATGTATCGCCCTAAAACCGCTGAGCTTTTCACCAAGATAAGTGATGAGCTCATCACTGTAGATTGTTCTGTAAGTACACAAAATACTAAGGTTTGCCATCTTGTGCTATAAACCAGATCTGGTGAGGTGTCTATTACACAATGCTAGAAACATGTGAACCTCGGACATTTTAAAAATGAGGTGGATGTATTACGAAACTTGCTACGCAGTAATGGGTAGCCGTTCAGCGTCATAATCATGATAAATGTAGTCATGTTTAAATCCGAAATGCCGTTTAGGACAACCCTCCTAAACCATCAATCAGTAAATCACTCAACTCACTCTTGATTAGACAAAAACCATCTGTTTGACCTCCATAGTTTCGTTCGTCATGAGGAACGACGTAGGCATAAGCTAAGAGCGCTGCAGCGTAATGGAATATATCAACTTAGACGTCCCATGAGACTTGCCGCAAACTTTGCTTGTTGATCTAAGCCTGAAGTCCGTCCAAGGCGTTTGATTTATATCAATTAATCCTAAATTTCCCCAAAGAATTCCCCACTGTATCATTTTAAAATGGCTTTGGACCAGTCGCTACCGGGGCAAATCGCTGATGTTTTCTCGATGTTATTCGATCCGAGGGATCAGGAATACTGCAATCTGACCGATCCATTCTATCTCTCAATGCTCTCACATGTTCCGTTCCAGAAGAATCTAGGCAGTGCACAACTCTATAAATATGGTGTGATTCTCCATTTGCCAACGCTTTTTGCCCTGCTGCTGTACTGCACTGCATTGCAGTTGGTTTTGACTGTTGTCGTTGGGAAACGTATCACGAGACAAGATTTGGTGATAGACTAGTGGACAACAATCTCTTTGGCTTCCGTAGCATTGGTGGAACAAACGCTAAAAGTTCCTATCTGCCAGGATCACCATTGAAATGGAAGTCGTCTTCAACGCCATTCCAAGCAAAAGCTTTAGCACGATCGTGAAAACAGGTTGATCAAGATAGCTAGTGCAATGGAAATAAAAGTCAATGACTGTTCGATCAGATACTCAACGAGGGAGGACTTCGGGTACTGGGTCAGTGAAACGAACCGCTTTAATAGGGACCAGAGCCTTCTCTTATAAAAGGAAAGGCAGCAGTATTCGACAAGACTCTCTTCATTCTTTTAAAAATGGAAGGTGATTCACTCCCCAACTCTATTACTCCTTTACTACTCAGCCGTTGGCCCGTAGAGTCTATCTCTTCAGCCTGGGGTGAATGAATGAACGTTTCGGTTTTCAGCAGTCACAGCCTACCGCGCGATAAGTTTACTTTCGATCATCCCAGAGTGTTAGCCTCCGTCATTCTTTACCACTTAACACTCTCGAGACAGGGCTATTAGCGAACATCAGACAGGATA